GCCGTCATCGTTTGAACACTCGATGATCATCCATGCTTGTGTTCGTTTGGAGTTCCCGGAGGTCTCGGCTACGCGCCTTGCCTCAGGATCTCCGAACTCGACCGTTTAGTGTCTGGTTTTGCACCAAACACTTGTGTTTTGCCTTGGAAGGGCAGGGAATGCCTTGTGAGGCATCCCTACACACCACCGGCCATGGCCAAAGGCCACCGGCTGGTTTTTGCTTTCACCGGCAATGTATATTGTCGGTCGGCACTATTTGTTGCCGGTCGGCACTCTTTTTTGCCAAAATGGCATCTTTGACCGGCCGACTACTGTGCATCTGCTTTTGCAGATATTTTAAGACAACTGTCTTGCTTTTTGCTCTCTCTTTAGAAGCTTGTCTTGTAAGCTTTACAAGACAAAAAGGCTCTATAAGAGAGAGTCTTCTCTTTTGTTGCAAGGGTTAGACACTTGAGACTTTTTAGAGAGTTTAGACAGTCATTTTTAGGGTTCTTGAGTTCTAGGGTTAGAAACCATACACTTTCTATCTCTATATCTCCCTCTTGTGTGTGTTTTAGTGTGTTTGTGTCTTACTATTGCACACAAACACATAGTGTTTCACCTTCACTTAGCTACTGAGGTTCTAAGAGGTTGGTTTTGAGGTTTTGGAGCTGTTTTCAACCTAGAGGCAGCTGTTGGAGCACCATTGTTGAAGGGGTCTTCAAGGGTAAGAAACTAGCCCATTTATTCCCCAATCTTGCATTGTATTTCTACCTATCTTAAAATCGTTTTTGAGCTTACTGTATAATACAAAAAAATTTCTGTTTTTAGGCCCTCTAAATTGTTTGTTTAGAGTGTTTTGTGGTTTGGAGGTGTTTGACCCCTCTTAGGCCTTGAAAGGCCTCATTTTGTGCTATTTTGAGTGAGTTTCGAGACTTTGGTGTTTGGGCCTCTTCACCACTGAAATCTTGAGGGATTTCAGTGGCAAAGATGGTGCCTTGAAGTCTCCAAAAGGGGCCCTCCCCTTGTTGTCCTTGAAATGGACCGTTTTTGGCCTCTTGAGGGAGCACCATGTTAGAGTGTGTATTGATCATATCTTGGTTGTTTTCCATGCTTATTATGCCATGATATAACCTTGTTGTGTGTTGGTTTTGGTACACCATGCATGCTTAGCATACCTACCATGTAATGCCATGTTATTGCCTTAATATGCCTTAGGTTGTTAGCCTTTGTTCAAGCATATTTTAGGCTTAGTCTTGTGAAGCTTTTGTGCATATTTTGCCATGTTTTAGGTCTGTCCATAGTTGTTTGGGTCAGATTTGGCATGCTTAGTATAGCCCCTTTGCATTCCAGCTTGTTGGCCTTGAGTGTATGAGCGTATAGCATGACATTTTTGCATTGATTTGGTGATTTGGAACCATCCACCATGTCATTTCAGTCCCATTTGCATGCCTATATGTTTGCCTTGAATGCCTCTTTAATGCTTAGAAAGCTTGTGTAGCATGCTCCATGTTTTAGCCATTGTGCATGCCTTTGTATTTGAGCCACTTAGATGCCATCTAAGAATCCCCTTTGCATGGTCTAGGTCTGTCTTGAACCTATGTTAAGCCCTCTTAGCCTTGTGAGGCT